TGCTGCCGAGACCGCGGCGGCCAGAGACCCGGCCCGGCCGCCCGAGGCCGCCGGAAGGGTCCAGCGCTTTGCGAACGCGCGCGAGGCCCGGCGCTCCGGGGGCGCGGAGGAGACGGCCTGCGACCCGCGTCCTCGCCGCGCCCGCCCGCCCGCAGCGAAGGTTCTGGAGCAGGATTTCAGGTGGTTGTCTCCGCTTCCCCACGGCCCCTTCATTGCTTCTGGCAGGTTTGCCGCTTCTCTGGCTCAGGGAGAAAGTTATTAGAAGAATCACACATGATCCAAACGGACAGTTTTTTGACCCGTTGTTAACTACCCTTGACTAGGAGAAAACTTATCAGCGTGTTAAGGAAAAGGTAGACTCTTCGATATGATTTATAAAATCCCCTACACAAAGCGTAATTCGAGGTCAGAATACCCTCTCCAGTAGTTACTTAGGTGTGTGACCTGGACAGTCTCTCTGTGCCTCAGTTTGCAGGTCTGTCAAATGGGGTTAATAGCGCCCAAACTATAGGGCTGTTGTGAAGATTAAATCAGAAATCTGTGCGAAGGGTTCTGCAGTGTCTGGCATTTAGGAGGTCAACAAATGATGGCGTTATTTTATTACTGCAAGTGTAAATATTAAGTTGAATTATTCTTGAAAGAAACACTAAAATCAGCACCAGATTAGGAGATTTCTAAGAAAGGCTAATTATTGAGGTTGAAGTACTGGAAGAGCCTATGAAAGTATAAACAGTTGATTTGCTACTAGAAAGAGACATTTGGCATCAAATTTGGCCAAAATAGCATAGTTCCATTTGTGGTTACAAGCGCCTTCCTCTCCCTCCCCTGGTCTCTGCTACCTGCTTTCCCCACACTTCTAACCTTGCCCCTTTTCCAGATCCAGTACAATGGTCATTTCCTCCTTAGTCCCTTTCTTGCCCAGCTGCCAAGGACCACTCCTTTTTTTTTTGCTGAGAACCACATTTTCTCTGTTTGTTTAGGGATTAACTGTTGAGTGACTTTTCTCATAGTGTTATTTAAGTGTCAGTGGCTAAATTGAGGACTGAGTATCTAGGAGTGTCTGCTTAGTTTCCCACTGTTTCCAGTGCCTCAAACAGTGCTGAGTACCATGGTAGACTCTCAGTAAACATTGGTTGTGTAGTTGAATCAGGAGAGAAGAATGCCTTTTAGTGTCCATTCCTTTCTCCTGAGCTGGATGTGGGTGTTAGCACACCTTGGTGATAGTTCTCATTCCCCATTACGGCTGGGAAAACTCCTAATTAAACAAGGCAAGCTTTACCAAGACACTCACAAATCATCCCTGGAAACTATTTCGTACCTAAAATTAGTGCTTTTGCAACTAAGTCCTATGGGCAAGCATTTTTATGCTTCATTATCTAGAGCTTGATTTCTGTCTAGTAATAAAGATAATTATAGCTTCCAGAATGAGAAAAAGCTGATGCAAATTTATTTCTTTTGGGTTATTATATACTGTCCCCTGGAGGCTGTCAAAGTCAGTTTCAGGAGCATATTCCTCTATAAGACCTTGGCTGTAAGGCTTTTGAGAGAAGGTGTCAATGCACGTACAATCCAGTGTCGCAGTATATCATTCTTGAATTACTTCCTTGTTAAAAATCTGAAACTCATGACTCAGCGAGTTGAAGGGACTTGTTGGAAATTGGATCTTATGCAGCTGGTTCTCTAGCTCCTGGCATGAGAGTCAGTCTCCTGAATCTCTTTGCACAAGAACAAATGCCATTTCCAATGAAGTGCTGATTGCTTTAAAAATATATTGAAGTGCTACCAAGATGTGAAAGATTTAACTTACAGGTCTTTCCCCCTAAATTAGCTGAACATTATAGTAAATGTATTTTTCTTCAGACACGTACTTACAATACATCAGTTAAAAAATGTACTTTGTGTAAATAATTAGCTTTAACATCTAGATATATTCAAAATATCTGAGTTGTGTTTCCCAGCTTACTCAATTTCACACATACACATAGGTGATTAGCTTATTAGAATATCTTAATATGATCTAAAACACACATGTTGTGAAAAAAAGTTCTCATAAAGACCAATAAAAATTAATGGGTCCCTTTCCTACTATCATTGCCTCCTTAGTCCCTGCCCACCCCCACATTAAAAATCACTTTATAAATCATCATGGTACAAGTGGCTAATGATTCGATAGATGACTGACCATTTAATTGCACTGAAAAGTCCCAATGAGTATTTATATTAGAATGAATGTCAAAGAGATGAGAGCTAAATCTGGTTGCTGTCCTATGAAATGCGTTAGAAGCAAAGCACAGAAATGTGGGGCTGTTACAACATTAAAAAATGCTTATTGTGGCCAGGAGGCTTACGTTGATTGATAAAGGGTATGTGGATACAGGAAAAGATATGAAATACATCTAGCGAAATTGAGAAGGACAATGAAAGGAGACATCTGTCTCTGGTTAGTTAGCTCCATTCATTTGTTCCTTCATTTGTTCAACATTTAGTTTGTCTTTGTTCAGTAAACATTTAATTTGTGTTTTATTGGTGATGCAAAGATAAGTAATCCAAGAAACAGAAATTGATGCTTATGAAATAATGTAACTATAACTAACTTGTAAACTATATGTAGTAGAACTATATGCAGGGTACAAAGCAGACAGAGGAAAGAGAGGACCTAACTCAAGCTTTGGACCATGAGATGAGAGAAGGCATCTTTAGAGGGGCTGGGGTGGACTGGTGGGGTGAACTGATTCTTAAAGGATGAATAATTGTGAAGGAGACAGAGTAACTCAAAGCATAAATGCTGTTGGTGAAGAATCAGGGGTTTCAGACTTATCTGTGAAAAAAGCATTTTTTTCCCATCACATTGACACAAGTAGGAAAGTCAGAAGTAAAAGCTTTTTTTTTTTTTGGTGAAAATTAAATTGAGATATTAGAGAGCATATCCAATGAGAAAATTCTAGCAAGCAGTTTGAAAAGAGAGAACACAATTGCAGGTAGATTTAGGAGGCAGAAACAGTTGCTGAATTTTCCGTCTTTTCGGCTGTTCTTTTCTCAATCCATTCCTTATTCTCTGCCTGTCTGTCAAATGCTTATGCCTTTTGAGTTCTTTCCTTTCCATCTTTTCTCCTTACTTGGTGCCCAGCATGATTCTGTAGCCACTCTCATTGTGCAAATCCATCACTGCTTTCTCTCCTGAGCTTCAAACATGGGACATTACCCTTTGGTTATTTCTCAGGGACCTCAAACCACTGTAATAATTTTGTAGGGAATCTCAAACTCAGCACGCTGACAAGGAAGCTTTCTGCATCCCTCTACACCTCTCCAGCCCAAATTTGCTCCTTCCTCATCTGCCTTGTCACCTTGGCCCACGCCAGGAACCTGAGAGTCACCCTCAGTTCTCCTTTTACCCTTCTCTCCATGTCCAATTACTGTACTTAACTTTCCTTTCATTCTCTGTGGCTCTGTTTAAAATGGTTCATACAACCTGCGCAGCAGCAGTCACATTGTGGTTTATGGTTTTTGTGGTTAGTTCAGTCAGGTCTGCTACTTCAGTTACTTTTCTTTCTCAAGATTGTTACTTCTTGAAGAGCAGAGGCCATATCATGTTCAGAGCAGGCTCAGCCCCACATAGCCAGCACATACTAGATCATCAGTAAAGATTTGTTGAACCAAACACATATACTGGAAGGAACTCATTATAAGAAAAAAGAGTATTTTAGGGGAAGGTGTTTGAAATATTCACTGTGGATGAGTTAATATATTAATTTAGTTATTTTTTACAATAATATTAGTATATATTATAGTTAATATACTAATATTATAAGTATCCACTATGGATGAGTTACTATGTCAATATCATATATAATATAGTTACTATATAAATATTATATATATTATAACATTAATTGGATCTGGTCAGAAGATGTTGGTCTGGGGTTGTGTTGTCTGTGCCTGTCAGGCACGTGTGTCCTTGCATGCACATACAATGCACGTGTGTTGGTGGGTGTTTGTGTGTTTCTCCCAGCGACATTGCAGCGCATGAGCAGGAGAGAAATAGCAGACCGTGTGAGTCAGGGTTTCAGAGTGATCTGGCTGATACTTAAGAGGTGTAAGTGTCTGGGATACAGTGTCCAGAGCTGGGTGTGGCAGCACAAAGTTGGGGAGTTCAGGGGCCACCTGAGAAGATTGTCTTACCTGGTGGTACAGAAATGGGGGTGGATCGTCCTTCCCCTTAATCTTAGAAAAGGAGTCAGGGTCCTTTTCCACAGATGCCAAACATGAGTGACATGACTGACACCATCGGGATGTTGAAATTTTCGTGGGCTCTCTGGGTAGATGGACCTAGAGCCGCCTCTGCCTTAGGCAGTGAGAGAGGAGCATGGGGGCCTCTAATAGGTGGGAAAAGCTCTGCTGCCTTTCTGAGCTAGAACTTACAGAGTAATAATCAAAGCCCTGCAGACTGCAAGCCCCACGGCCTAGCCGGGAGAAGGCAGGACGTCTTTAATGAAGTCACCACACTGGGGGCAGCAGTGGTCAGCCCTGAGAGCACGGTCCCCGACACCCTGACAGTGAGTGAGCCGCTCGCTCACCATGAGTCACAGGGTCCGACTGTTCCCCAGAGGCGGCGTCTCCTCGTGAGTCAGTGAACGAGGATGACTACTCAGATGCAAAGTCCCCGAACCAAATGACCTGAGGAAATTGTCAATGCTGTTCAGGGGCCAGAGAATTGGAGGAAGGCACGATAGCTGCAAAATGAGATTTGGCTCAGCAGGGAAAACAGAATTATCTATCTTTGGGTCTAAATAGAGTGCTGAATCTTACAAGATTTTTTTTCGAAATAAGTCATAGACCGGTTGTACCATGTGATGAGATTGCGATGATGCTGGACTGAAGTGTGTGCAAAGCAGCAACTGTCTTGAGAAAACCTCAGCACGGTCTTGACAGCCCATCAGAGTGCCTCTCCCTCCTCCTGATTAATGTCTGGAATCCTTAAGCTGAAGGCTCCCTTGGCTCTTACAGGCATATTCAGGGAGGGTGGCATGCTAATCTCTTATCAGTTACTTGGATCATAGCGTGAACCACAAATACACCAGGCACGCTCCACCTCAGGGCCCTTGCACTCTCCGTCCCTTTTCCCTAGAAGGTTCTACTCCAGATACAGCAAGGCTAACCCCTGCACTCTTCACTGCCCCTCTCCCACCTTAAATATTACCTTATCAGTGAGGTCTTCTCTGGCCGCCCATGTAAAAATTGTAATTACTCTCACGCCTAGAGCGCCCACCCCCCTTTCCTACTTTACTTTTTCTTCCTGGTGCATCACAATCAGAAAGACTGTGCATTTGCCTGTTTATTGTTGGTCACCATTCGTTAGAATGTAAACTTCACAAGGGCTGGCGTTTTTGTCTGTGAACTGCTGTGTATCCAGCACTTGAACTGCGCCTGACCCATTGTAGGTCTTCAGTAATGGTAGTTGAACGTGTGAACGAGTGAATACATATCCAAGGTTATTTTGGAGGATAGGTCATATGTGTGTGAAATGAGGGTAAAGGGGAAAAGAGAAGAGATCGTGATATTCCTGGAACGATGTGATTTACTCACATCACCAGACGGAAGTGGGGGTGTCCTGGGGGCCCTGGTTCACTGTGGGCAAAATCCCCCTACCTCGTAATTTTATCACCAGCGGGTATGCTAAGGCTTCCTGAACGGTGTCAAGTTGGAGGAGTTCAGAAGCCAGTGGAGAACGTTTCTGTGTTCTTCCTCTCCTTCAACACTCCCTTCCTTACAGGGGGAGCAAAGTGCGAAGCCATAAACAGTACGGAAAATCCCTTATCCCTCTAGAGAACACAGTGAGCATTCATTACAAGCGGATGACAGTTGGGGATGCAGATTTTTATCTCCCCACCTATGTTTTCTGAAAAAAAAAGTCAGAATAAACCTCTGGCTTTGATTTCACCATAGGGATTTGTTTATAGGAATTCTTGGAAAGATAGGGAAATCACGGTTGCTGGGGAGGAGAGGAGGAGAGTTTGGCTGCTCACAGCAGCCCCGGACTGGTGTCCACTGTCTGCGTGACACAGGGCTTGTAGCGCTTATGGACAGGCACAGGCGTGTTCACGGAGTGTCAGACACAAACCATCACGCTGACCCAACGTGACTAATGATGCCAGAGATCCATCAAAGAAACCCTCAGAAGACAGAAAAGAAGACTGATTTCTCGGCAGTTACTTCATTCATTTGCACAGAGACAAATGACATGCTTACATATCAAGAAAAAGTGAAAATAGAAGCAGTGCAGTGGCTTTGGAGAGCAAGGGTGGAAGTTAAATACTGGCTTTAGAGATCTTTTCAAAATGATCCAAAAGACGATTATAAATACTTCAGTAGAGAGATGCAGAATTTTAAAAATAAATAATAATTTTCATTTAAAAGAAAAAACAAGGGTTCAAAGAAATGAACTCATTTTAATTTACTTTCAAAACTAACCTTGTTGGTGTTTTGTTTTTTTTTTTTTAATTTTAGTACCATGCAATTTGATGTAGTAATTTGTTAGTAATCAAGTCCTGAAATTTGTGATTGGTTTACTTGTTAAAATGGTTAGCGCACATTCAGAGTTATTCCCTAATGACGTTACTTACTTGCATTTTTGGTATCCCCCTTGGGTGGAGAAAGACAATTGATTCCAGTGGGGAAGGTGAACGGAGCCTGAGGGTGAACTTGTCCACGGGAGGGCGTGAGCTTGTGAATGTCATCGGTCACACGAGTCACACAGAGAAAATACTGGGAACCACTGCTTTGGAGGACACACTGGCGGGAGCTGCGCAGAGAAGAAGTTTGATTACTATTCTTGAATCCCGAATTTGATGTTACAGAGGACAAATTGTTTTTATGTAGTAACTTTACTTTTGTAACAAAAGTAATTGAAAATCTTTCCATATGATAAATAATGATTTAATAACTCAGTTATATCTGTACATACTCAAAGAACTGGACAGTTGAAGCAATCTTTCAGACATCATAAAAGAAGAGAATTAAAATGTCTGTGGTGTCAGAGCAATTCAGGAAAATGTTCTTTAATCTGTCTTGTTTGAACTGTACATTTTTTTGCTTTTGTTTTTGTTTTTGCAGAGGACCTAGTTTCAGTTCCATCACCTCCCCCAGTTCCCACTTAAAGTAGAGATTTTATTAGACAGAAATATGTTCAAACGTTATCAGATTAGTTAAGCAAACCTTTCATACAAAAAAGGCAATGGGAAAAAAAAATTGCTCTTGATGATTTAGTTTTAACAATCACAGTAACCCTGGTATTACCAGCTAGTCTAGGACATTTGTGGTTGAAGATTTTTGAAAATCATGTTTATTATGAACATTACTGTATGTGGAAAACAGATCTCTTATTTTACTAGGCACTTGTCTGCTAACTTACTATAACTTTTTTTTGTTTTAGGTGGACCTCTCTTAACTTCTGCTGAAACAATATCTGAATGATTCATACCTTTGGAGAGAGTCACACCCATTTCATGCAGAATCAGCTACAGTAAAGGTAAGTCATCCAACAAAGACTTTTGACTAATTTTTTTGTGGGTTTGAAAGAAGAAGAAAGCATATCCTTGTACTTCTTGCTTAACTTTAGGATTAGAACATTCATTGAAGTAATCAGTGAATTTGATGACAACTCGACAAGTTAAGCAGAGCTGAAATTACAGGGAAGATTTAGAGAGGAACCAGGTCAAATCCATGTGAAGGTTCATGTGAAGAATTGTTTTATGGTTCATAGAATTGCCATTGTGCATTTCCATTGTTTGGACCTTGGAATTTTCAATAATTGAGATCTCAAGTCTACAGAGTATGGTTTATTGTGCTTTATACCTTGGATTTTTATGTATTTAGTTATTTTGGGGAGTGAGGGAGGTAATTTGTTTATTTTATTTATTTTTGGAGGAGGTACTGGGGTTTGAACCCAGGACCTCGTGTATGCTAAGCACTGTACTCTACCACTGAGCTATACCCTCCCCCAATTCCTTGGATTTTTCACTGTAGAAGTTTGAACAAGCCATTGAAAACCAAAAAAAAAAAAAAAGAAAGAAAATTTACAGGGAGACTGTGGTTTTCAGCCATTTAGAAATAAGATGATGGGACTTCCATGAAACATTCCATTTACTTTTATCTCTTAAAGACTAGATGCATCAGGTCAGTTGGTCAGAATGTGGAACGGGAGTTACAGCTGTGCTCTGTTGTCCTTTGTGGACAGATGCCACCTGTGTGATCTGAGGAACACTGGAAAGTGTGCAGAAAGCACCCCACCTCTTGACCTATGACCTAATGATAATTGGAACTTCGTTTTGTTTTCTTAATTAGCAGATATTCCAAGTATTAAAGACATATACTCTAAGGAGGAGTAACAAAG